ACTTGAAAAAAAAAAATCAGATTACAGTAAAGCATTACTTTTAAAGCTCTATTAGATATTGTGTTTTTATTACAGCATTAAAAAAGGAATTCAGAAAACTGCTAACGCCGTGTCCAAAGCTTTAATTAGCCAAAAGGTGTATTTACTGAGAGTAAAATGTTGCAGCGTGTTACTGCAAATGTGCATGAGAAACCTGTAACTGAACCACAACAGGACAGCGAGGAGAACTGCAACATCAGCTCCTGTCTCAACGTGTGACCCCAATCCCCGGTGAAGGGCACTAGAGACACCTCTGCCCCTGATGGCTCTGATAGAAGCACCTTCCTGCCTGCAGCACTTTGACACTGAGGTCTTGTCAGATGTTAACATTGCATCGCTGTACCTGTCCACCTGCAGGCAAACCTTTTGTGACCTTGCCTTTTGTCGCCTGCCACAATATCTCCCATCCAAGCCCTTTTGATTCGTGATGAATTTTGCTTTGCTTTCATTCACTTAGCCACATAGACAAGGCAATTCGTAGCACTTGCTATAATTTTTAATATTAGAATCCATAAAAAGAGCACTATTTTTTCCTTTAACAAATGTGTAAACAGTCTACTGGATCAGAATACCCTGCATTCACCAGTAATCGATACATATTCACGAAATCTCAACATCATATACTTGTATATTAAAGATATAAACAAACTAGAGGCCATAGCTGAGTGAGGGTGCGGGAGAAAGACTGTGTGTTTGTGTGTGGTGGCACTGATGCAGCACAGCGAGCCGCGGGGATTCAACCTTTTGCAAGTGGCAAAGGCAGACATGATGAAGTCATGTTGACAGTGCGTGTCCTGCGGTCAGGCAGCTTTTAAACACAGATTTGCTTTTGCTTTTCTCTTCTAATCCCAAGGCCAGTGTATCAAATACTCCGATTTTATAGCAATAGGGAAAATGTGAGGCGCCACTATCTAATATACTGTTACTACTCCTTCATCAGGCAGACCTGGCAGTTTGGGATGAGCCCCTAAAATTATTTTTATAATTGAGTCCGCAGCTACAGTAGCATTTCTGTAAGGCTGGAACATAGACTGTATATAAAGGATAGCCGAGGCTGTTGTGTCGCCACACATTAGCTGCGAAGATTCAAGCTGAGCGTTGTCGCCGTTGGCTTCTCTGTGTTTTGTAAATGAACACGAAGAGCAGTCAGCAGACTTGAAACTGAGCATACTATGTGCTCAAAACGTACCCCTGCATTGTATTCCTAACATAGCGTTCAACAAGACTAGCATGTAGTCACCAGGGCAGTGTTTATTGTGTTTTCCGGGGTGCTGTTCAGCTGTGTGCTGTTAATGTTTAGTTGTTTACAACGATCTACAATCTACATCTTAAATGTCAGACATTATAAACTGTCCTCACCCAGGAAACAACCCCTCATAATGTGTGCTGTTGTCTTCACCTTGAGTTGGGAGAGGACTTTACACCCTGGTATCCTAGAAAAACGACATTTCTAATGCTTTAATGTTGAAAAAAGCTATTTTAACCCAAACTATGATCTGTTTCTAACCTTTAGTTTAGGTGCCCACCTGTCATAGAATGAAGGGCGAGGTAGATCCTGGACTGGTTTCCAGTCTGTCACACGGCCGACCTAATAAAACAGAGTGGAAATCTGGGCATTAGTCAACCAATATGATTGTTAAGTTGGAGAACTTGTCGGGGTATTAACTGATTAACACTAAACTGTACAGAGTCGAATTTTGAGCTAACAGTGGCACAAAATGAAACGCTGAGAAATCACTGAAGTATAATCACTGTGTTATACTGCGCCTGCTCATTTGCCATAACTGGCTCAGGAAGTGGGGCCCGGATAATGGGAACTGTTGAACTGGGAGTTGTTTAAATCTTATCTGCTTCAGCAAACCATGTAACATGTCAAAGTGGTCAATTCTTTATCCAGAGCAGCTCTTTAGTTATATTCTGCCCCCAGCATGTCTCCTACTGTTATTTATCCTGATGATTCACTGTCGTATCTTTCTTTGTTTCTTTCCCCGAAGCTCCACATAATCCAGTACAACCTTACTGCGGTTACATAATCATCCCCCATTTCCAAAGGCTCCAAATGAATTGAACAAACTAATATGAGCACTGTTTTAATGCTTGGATGAAAACCCTTTGCAGTCAATTGAATGCCTGACATGCAGAAGTCATGAACAAGACCAAATGCTGTGTTTCCCCCCTTGAGATGCTCTGCTGGGCCTTCACTTCAGCCTCCTTCAGCTTCTGCTTCTTTGTTGGTCTGAATTTAGCCTTATGAAATTTCCCCTAGTGGGACTAGTAAAGGTATATCAAATTCAGTTTTGTTTTTAATAATTGAACAGCATGTTCTATTGGATTGAGATCAGGTGTCTGATTTGGACACTGAGGAATATCCAATTTCTTTGCCCTTAACAATGTTGGGTTGCTTTGGCAGCATGTTTTCATCATGCATTTTTTCTGTGAAATACTGTTTTCTCATCCCATCATTCCATCATTTTTCCAGAACCTGGCTGGCTCTTTTAGATGTTTTTAAAATCTTATCTGGCCTTCCTGTTTCTGAGTGTACCGGTGATTTGCACCGTGCTATGAACTCTCTATAGTTCCATTCTTGAAGCTTTGATTGAGTGTAGATTTTGACAGTGACAAAATTACCTCCACAAGTTTGTTATCAACTTGTTTCAACGATGCGAAGACGTTTTTCTTAACCATGTAAGCAAATCTCTGCTTTGATCTTCTAGGCCTATTGATTTAGGTTTCTTCCTGTTAAATGGGAGTTTCTTTTTACAATACAAAAGTGACTGATGCTGTGAGTTGGTGCTATATAAATAAAATTCAATTAAATTGAACAGACTGATGATTTGGCCACTCTTTGAATTTTGCCATTTCTGATAGGAGGATGTGTATGTATGTGTGGCGTTGATATTTATTTGGAACTCAAGTTGAGAGTTACAGTGAACAGCTACCAAATGCAAGTTCAGCTAATTGGGCACTGTAAGTAAAAATTAATGTAATTCACAAGGAGGTAAAGTAATACTCTTGCTAAATCCCTGAATTGAATATAAGTCTGCACTTAAATCACATCATGATTGCCTGATTTACAATCCACTGAAGTGGTGTGCAGACAATAAAATACAAAAATGTGTCATTGTCAATAAACCTGTGAACATCATTGCATATATGGCACAAAAAGAAATGCATTTTTGGCTGGGTACTCCATTTCCTTGGCTCATGTGCAACCCTGCCCCTAAATGTATTATGTGAAAACTGGTACTGCACAAGAGTTTAAACACTGATTATAGTAATTACCTGTTTTGCAATGTAACAAACCAGGTATTAAGAGCTTTTCGTGAAATAAAAATCATTATCCAACTTAAGTAACGTAACAATACTCATTTCTTCAGCACCAAAATATGCTTAAACTATCTAAAGCAGGGATGTCAAAACGATTTTACATCATGGGTCACATTTTGTTCTTTAGTGGGCCAAACCAGTGAAAGTCCCCTTTCTGTCAGTCTAAAGTTATTTAAATCCTCATTTAAAGCTAAATTAAAATAATAAGAAAAAACCTGCAATTTCAGAGTGACATAAATGTTTTACAGTTGATAGTGAAAAAACAGGAAGTTTTCTGTCATTTAGTTGTTTATCTCTTACATGATTAGTTGTTGTATGAATAGCAATGGCAATGACAGAGGTCTATATCAGTGGAGAACGCTGTAAATAAAATACATTTTAAACTTATGAAATTACAGTTATATGTAGTTAAAAGTCCAAAGTCCATGCTCTCCTTCATATATTCCTAAGCCATTTAGTGGGCCAGCTTGACATCCTTGCTGGGCTGATTTTACATTTGACACCCCTAATCTAAAGTAACGTTAAGATTTGCAGCTCTGTAGCCCTGTCTGGTGTTTAAGTCTGACGTCATTAGCCGTGTCTGGGCCCAAACTCCGCTGCAGATCACACGATCACTGCGGCATTACTGAGAGTTTAAAACTGTCTAAATTCTTTCATCTGTAATAAAATGATCAGTGTGGCTGCTCTACCAGGTGTAACAATTAAGTTTAACATCCATTCATCCATGAAAACCAAATTTATGAAATTTAACGGAGTTAAAAGTTAGCAGGAAGTTAGCTTGCTAGTTTCCATCTAAATATAATATAGCATATTCTGACTGAGGAATTTCCAAAACAAATTAAGACGTACATCTCTGCTATCACTTCTGACATAAATGAAGACACGAAAGTAAACAGCAGTGACGTTTGTAAGGTTACTCAAGTTTGGCTAGCTGGTTTATAATAATGTGATACGTGATTGCCAGTGACACAGCTATGTTAGCATAACAAACACTGAAGCTGGAGGATGAACGCCAACCTTCTTCCACTTGATAAAAGTTAATGTGAGGGTTCCCGAAGGTTAGGGGCAAATGCAATCGTATGGCAGGATGATATAAACGGACCAAACTTCAGTTGGGAGAACAACTGAGATAATCCATCCACAATATGAGAAAAGTGCGATCCCCCTTTGTTTTCAAACGGGTCTGTGCAAAGTATAACAAGATACAAGCACTAAAACATGTTAAAAACACAACAGCCTTATTAAATGCAGAGTAGTTTGTGCCCAGAAGCAGGATTCATCACATCATCACTTAAAGACCCCATAGCAGTAATCTGGGGGCACCAGAAGAATATATTGTATTCCAGTGGGGGTGGTGCCAGCCCATGCACACACCCCCTCTGGACCCGCCCCTGTTAAGGATGATAAACTTTTCATTTGTCAAACGTCATAATTAAGAGAAAAACGCGTAAGTTTTCCTCTTAATTATGGAAATGGAGTAACAGCCACTTTGTCTTTACTGTGTGCAGTGCTCATGCTTACTGTGGTGTTAACCCGCCCCTTTAAGTGCGGAAATCACACGTGTAATAAATATCATGGAGCCCGTTACGCTGCTTTATCTCGCTTATACACGTGGGGGCGTGGCTTTATCGCCCGCGTCATCTTATCAGGAAGAAAGGCTCCAGTTTACAGAAAGCTCTGTGGAAGCGTGGAGCCTGAACACCTACACGCGAGTAAACAGTGTGCCTGTAAGTATTCACAGACGATGTATTATGTCAGACAAGCTGTTATTTTACCAAAATGCTCGTCTTCGTTTTGCCTGCGTTGGCTTGTGTAACTTTCTTCGGAGACAAAGTTTCCCCGAGTTGACTCAAGGGCATCAGCAAAGTAGCTTTCTATCCTCTTTTCCGTTTTCATGCCAGAGTCTGTGCGGATTTCAGTCTGTTTAAGTTCTTATCGTTCTCCGAACCACTTTTAGCAAAAGATACACCATTAATCGAGACAGCCTCTGAAGTATTGGCTTTTTAAAATAAATTCGGCATGTATCACTGTGATCATTAGGTGATTATTAAAGTGCTTCAAAGTGTGTTTTCATATTTTTCTCGAATCCTTCCGCGTGAGATAATCCCATCAAGCGTGTTTCAGTAAAGTTGAAATAATTAAAGTGAAAGCTTCCTGGGTTAAATGTTTGTGATTGTTTTGTTTTTAATTAATTTTTTTTTAGTCAGCGTGTCCAGGAGTAGCAGCAAAATTCGCAGTTGCTATATTTGGGCTGCCATAACATCCATTTACGCTATTATTGGACAGTAACTTTGCTTTGATGGTGCAGAGTTGTGGATCTAGGACATGCCAGCTGAGATTCACAGATAATGGGTATTAGACATCTGTGCTCTGCAAAGGTGCAGCTAGAAAGCTACCGTTAAATTCAACCTGTTGTAACTCTGTTATTAAGATTCGTGTTTGTTTTAGGTCTCATCTGCTGCTCTCTCTGCTGGTTTGTCAGTGCACTATGCCTGATGATATGGCGAGGCCTTTAATCCGAGAAAGAGCTGGGGGCTCCAGACACCTTGAAGCCTCCATGATGACGCCCAGCACCCTGTTGATTGGCATCCTGGGCACCGGCGACTTCTCCCGCTCTCTGGCCAGAAGGCTGGTGGCCTCCGGCTATCAGGTTGTGGTGGGCAGCCGAACCCCCGCGCGCTTCACGGCTCTGTTCCCCGAAGAGGCGGAGGTGACATATGCAGCGACACTGACACTCACGTTCACACTCACAGTGTAATTGGTGTTTTTGTTTCCGTCCCTCTGGTGGTAATTATACATTCCTTTGACTTTTCCCCCAGCAGTGATAATGGATGTTGTTGCTTTACCTCATAAACATAGCTACTAGATAATCTCAGTTGATTGAGAGAAGAAGATGAGAGGCAGTATGGGAGGAGCATACAGCAGTCAATCCATCAGCCTGCGCCACAATACATTTGCACCACAAGATGACTTCTTGTCAGCCCCTGATTAAGTTCCCATCTGCAGCTTGAATCATTTTTTAAGGTGTCTTCACCACAGGCATACAAATATGGATGAGGAACAGAGAGTGCTATTGTTATGTTTTTCACATGCTTACAATGGCTTCTATCAAATGCGTTCAAGTAATCCCTCTCAGCCAACAGCTTCAATTTAAGTCTTCTCTCAAGGCTCATTTTAACACAGTTGTCTTTACTCTTATGGGGTGTGAGCAGAAAGCCCCACTCAGCTGCTGTTAATGTTAGTGAAGGGCAGCCAATCAGAAAAAGGTTGGCTTAAATTGAGATGAAAGGCTGCACCAAGGTCCAATATCCCCTTATCATTTGTTTCGCTAATTTAGTGTTAGTGCCTCCTAGAATTCATGCTCAGTAATCAACCTGTCTTTTATAGGATCTGGAAGTTAGAGTTGGGCTATGTTGTAAACTTTATTGTTGCTCTGCCAAAAAATTGCTGACTAAAATCCGTAAGATTGCTCGAGTTATGGTCTCATGTCAATGTTAGGTCTCACACACTATTTGACTAGATCCACTTCCACTACTGTCACCAGTGTGGAGCCTTTTACTAGTGTGTTTTCAGCTCAGTATAGGCACCTCGAAGCCACAGGGGGGGAAAAAAAAATCTAAGGGTCAATTCTTCTTTGGAGTCAAGCCATGTGATGAAAATGTGTAACAGCTGAATAACCTTTAATGTTGCCTTAAAAGCTCATGTATGAATATAGGGTCAGAAATAGCACTTGGGAATTTAAGTAAGACGTGTATGTAATGATATACTCCTTTGCCACATGGAGTGTTTAATACATGGTCAAAGCACACTTAAAAACCACACACATACATTCATCCTAGTAATGCTACCCAAAAAAAAAAAACAACCCAAAAAACAAACAAAACAAACAAAACAAAAAACAACCCTGCAGCTTTCTTGTCATTTCTTTAAATAGCCTTCTTTAAGGACTTTCAAGGCTCTTCTTTGGATGTTGGCTACCTTTTCATCTGCTCACTGTCAAGGTGATCCCACACTGCTTCAATGATGTTGAGGTCTGGGGAGACACTCCATGATTGTCATAGACGTTATTGTTGCACTGCCAAAAACAGCACTGACTAAAATTACAGTACATCCATTTAGCCATGGTCTCATGTCTCACCCAAACCGTGACACGAGACCATGACTGTTGTGTTCAATTGTATGTTCCTGTTTTCAAGCATTGTTTAGCACTGTGTTTGGGATCATTGCTGTCAAATGAAGTTGTTGCCATTCAGATGCTTTTTAAACTTCTTTAAATTCATAATGTCATCGATTTTGTCAAACCAGTGTCCAAAGAAAGGGTTTGATAGACATTCAGAAAATCTGGAGAACTCTTGCTTAAGACTGCTTTTAATAACTACAAGAAGGTCTGGTGAAGAGTTTTAAACAGAACTGTAATAGCATATATTATTACTGCCTGTTTATTCATTTGCAAGCTGCAAGAAAGGACTTCCTGGCTTATTTGAGTTTGAAATTCAAATAATCCCAATAAAGCTTTTTGGAGGTTTTTTTTTTGTTTTCTTTCATGGCGGTTTTCAGTAAACATAGTTTGTGGTTAATGGGAACTGTGCAAAGCATTTGACTGAGACTGACAGCGGTGAGCTACAGGGTTTTAATTCAAACATACAATTTATCTGTCGCGTTCAGAGGTATGTTTTTAGAGCCAAATATGTATTAGGGTCAAGGAGATGCTTAGTGTAAATACTGTAGGCAGAGGTCTATGCTATGCTACGTTTTACTAATATTTGACCAGGCTGTGTTTAACAATACTAGGAAATCAACTAATGAAACAAGCTAAATATAAGGGAAAGTTTTGATATCGAGCGTGAACGTTTCTGTCTTTGTCCGTCAGGTGACCTCGCAGATGGAGGCTGCAAACCAAGCAGACTTGCTCTTTGTTGCCGTGTACCCTGAGCACCACTCTACATTGGTCCACCTGAAGCCAGCACTAGCTGGAAAGACTCTCGTGGATGTCAGCAACGGTTTGCAAATCAAGCAAGAAGGGCCTTCCAATGCCCAACAGCTGGCTGATCTATTTCCTGAGAGTTATGTGGTCAAGGGGTTTAATACCATATCAGCCTGGACGCTACAGGCAGGACCACGGGATGGGAGCCGACAGGTAGGGGACGTCATCACCACTCTAAGACTATTCGCATTCATGGAGGTCTGGTGGTATATGCGGTTTCAAATGAAATTGGTTTCTAGCCTCTAAACATGTTTGTCTTTATGTCGTCTTTTTCTCCAGGTTTTCCTCTGCAGTGACGATCAAAATGCCAAGAGCTCTGTGATGCAGCTTTGCCGCAGGATGGGCTTCATCCCTGTTGACATGGGCCTCCTCTCCTCTTCACTAGAGATCGAAAACCTCCCGCTGTATCTGTTTCCATCTTGGCGCACCCCCATCATCTGCGCTCTGGCCCTCTTTGTCTTCTTCTACCTGTATAACTCCGTCCGTGATGTCTTGCATCCCTATGTGACGACGAAGAAGAACAATTTATACAAGTTGCCCATTGAGATTGTGAATGTCACTTTCCCATGTGTCGCCTTGGTGATGTTATCACTGGTCTACCTGCCCGGTTTGATTGCCGCCTTCCTCCAGCTGTGGTGGGGCACCAAGTACAACCGCTTTCCTAACTGGCTGGACCATTGGTTGATCCAGAGGAAGCAGTTTGGACTGTGCAGCTTCCTGTGTGCAGTTCTACATGCGATTTATAGCCTGTGTCTTCCCATGAGGAAGTCCGCCCGCTTCCAGCTGATCAACAAGGCCTATGAACAGGTTAGATGAAGAAGAAGAAGAGAGGTGTCGGTTCAGACGTTCCATGAGTCTAACAAACAGGACAGAATAAATATAATATATATACAGAATAAATATACATAGTCTGTAATTAAATTTTCCAACAAACGGATGTATTCTGGTAAACTTATATTTAATCTGTTAAAATACATAGCAGTGGGTGTGCGGTTTGTGGAAGCAACAATGTTCCCCCATCACATTTGAATACAATGACCAGGAAAGACATCTCCCTTTGTGCTAGTCTCTAGCCAAATATGCCCAAGGCAGAGGAGAAGGGAACTCATAGGCATTTTGTGCTGAAGAGGGGACATTTAAATTTGTGTCTGCATCTTACATCAGGCCTACGCTTTATTGTTGGACGAGGAGTCCTCTTCACCAAAGAAATGAAAATGCAAAAGAAGTGACACCATCTGCATCTTAATAAGATGTAATCTTCCTCGTAACCTTAAGCTTCATCTCCTGAGCTAAAGTCAGGGCTCTAACACACGAAACATTCATAAACCTCCTTATTTATTTATAATAACAGATAGTCATTGATTACTCGGTTATTATCTGCCCAGGTAGGCTGGTTGCTCTGTTTGTGGCAAGTTACAAAGCGTCAGTTTCACATTTTTGTCATGCTCTTGAATATGTTGCTGTTACCCTTGCATTGACTGCATGTCTATCAATGTTGCTTGTTACGCAGGTGAATGCTGGCCACCCAGATTCGTGGGTTGGGGAGGAAGTTTGGAGGATGGAGCTGTACCTGTCCGTGGGCATCATGGCTCTCGGGCTGCTCTCTCTGCTGGCTGTCACCTCGCTGCCCTCAGTGGCCAACACTGTCAACTGGAGGGAGTTCACCTTCGTTCAGGTACGCACCCACACATACTTCAGCCAGATACTTCATGCTAGCATGTGCTGTCAAATGGTTTTGTTCTCCATGCTTGTAGGATGATGGTCAAAGACGTTGGAGACAGGCAGGACGTTTGAGTCGCACGCATACGAACAGACAGGCGTCACTCTGATGTGCAGACAGATGCACGCTGTGTCTCTTACACCACATAGTGAATGTGTGGCAGTAAGACACATATACAAACACTGACTCTTAGTGTTTGCAGTCCCGCAGCTGCCCCAGATTTGCTGTTAAACTTGTGCTGTGACAAAGCCGTTAGGAGGGTTGTGACTCAGTTTGTACACACACTTCCTCCTCTCCTTAACCCCCCCCCCCCAATGGCCTCCAGTTTTCCAGGACGTGAAGTCTGTTTGTGCCACTTTTCCCATTTCATCTTCCTTTAATTCAGTGGCCTTCAGATTAGTCACATGTCAACAGTTTGTGCGATTAAAGCACTTCTAGACTTGTTGTCAACAGCATGGGTGCACAATTAGTTTGTTTTTGTTTTTTTTTCTCTCTCTCCTTTTTTTTTTTTTTAAATGCATAAACACTGTCAGAGCTAGCAACTGTCAAAGTATCCAGAACCCTGTTTTTGGGGTCTATTTTTAGTTTCTGCTTCAGTGTGGGCGCTCTTGGACAGTTAAGGAACCGTTGAGTGATCTAGGTGTTTAAATTATATAGTCAATTGTGGTGGCATTGATCTGCTATATCAGTTCTCAGCTGGCTAATATTTTAGGTGCTTTAGATGTAAAGTACACTGAGTTCTCGGGTAGAGCAGAAAAATGCTATATGTAAACCGGTCCATTTATAAGTTGCTGCTGTTACCCAGGCATATGCAAACTGTTAAGCCCAATGTGTGACCCACCTGCCACTGGGACACTAACTTCAATATAAGAGCAGTAAATTTAGGTCATAGTAATGAGTCAGGCTAACCACCTCCTATTACCAGTTTAAATTCCCTTTTTTAATAAATAAATGTATGTAAATATGTAACCTGCCAAGGGATTGCAGATGCAAATTAGCTGTAAGATAACAGTGTTACAATGGATCATGGCAGCCTTTATGTTAATTTTGCACAAAAAAACAAACAAATAAACCTATGCGTAAGGAATTTTGACTTTCAAAAGTTTAAGAGCACTTGAAAAATGGCAAAAAATTATATTTTGCATGGTTGAATCTCAACAAGGTTCCAAGTAGAGCTTCACATGCAACTAGAAGAAATGGGAGTGAGACAAAACATATTTTTGAGCATGCAATTTATTGAAAACATCTTTTGATCGGGACTGTTTGTTATTAATGTGGCTTGCCTGCAGTACCGTTACAGTCCACCAGGGCTGGCCACACTTTGGGAATCACTGTTTTAGGTGACACAAATGCAAATAAAATGTTCTGGGTTTAAAAATAATGTGTTTTTTATGGTTTAATTTTTAGTATGTGTGTTTGTGTGTTTAAGCACCGAATGAAGACCACCCTGACCTGCATGTTTCCATAAATTTGTCTTTGCTTTCAGCAGTGAGGATAAACACAAGCAAACTTTGAAGTTTGCAGGACGTCACATGATATAAATAGAAAATTATTCATCTCTTGCCATTGCAACTCACTTGGTGTTTAATTCGCCTCGAGCTGAGCTGACTACAGGAGCACTTGGAGAGCACTGTTTCTGTTGCTGAACCTGTGGAAGGATTCATAGCAGAAACCTGCAGCCGCCTTTGGCTGTTGGCTTTGGCTCTCTGACGACCCCCCACCCTCCCGTCTGCCCTTGCACGATGAGTTTTACGGTCAAAAACAGCCTCTAGTGTCAGCCTAACCCTTACTGCTACATGAGTCTTTGTTGCCGACCATCCCACCACTCTTTTTCTTTTACGTATTTGCTTTTGAATTGAATTATATTTAAATTTCAGGGATATCCCTTGTAAAAAGTTTCAGCTTCAATAAATCTATTATGTTTTTTTGCAACTAATTAGGTTCACTGGCAACAGGTCATCAACATGAGTGCGACTAAAAACAGCTTATTAGAAGTAAAGGTTGGCAGAGTGTCATTAATCTGCGAAGAAACTGCATCTACGAATTGTGGAACAAGAATAATTTAGAATAATATCCCTTAACATAAATTTATGAAGTCCTTGAATATCTCATCATCTACAGAGTCTCTGTATGTGAGGGACAAATCATTTATTAATGCCTGTGATCCTTTGGCCCTCGGGAGGCACTGCAATAAAACAGACACGTGTCTGTCATTGAAATGAATGCATGCGCTCAGAAACACTTTAAAGCTCTGTCAAACAAAGAGGAACTCGTATGTTAACATGATTCAGAAATGCTGCTGCTGTCTCAGGATCTAAGCTCTTTTATACAAAGCAGAACTACCCGGCTTTTTATCAGCACTCGGTTCAAAAGCCTGCATGACTGATGGTACGGCAGTGTTTCAGTGCCTATTTGATTGGCAGCTTGGACGTCTGTAAAGGCACCATGAATGCTGAAAGGTATATACTGTATATACCTTTAAAAGGTATACGCAAATGTTCAATTCAAGTTTATTTATATAGCACCAAATCACAACATTTGCTTCAAGGCGCTTTATATTAAGTAAGGTAAAGACCTGCAATAACAGAGAGAAAACACCAACAGTCAGACGACCACCATATAAGTAAGCAGTTGGCAACATTGGGGAGGAAAAATTCGCCTTTGACAGGAAGAAACTTCCAGTAGAACCAGTAGAGTTCGATTAGAAAGTGTGCTAACTAAAATGTAGCTCATTTTTAAATCTATGATGGAAACAGCGATTTTAATATTGCATTTTTTTAATTGTCAACACAAGGAAGCTAAAAAAATGCAATCAGTGTTGTAAGATTTTATTAAAGGTATTATCCCCTTTATTCTGTCTCCTGCAGTCCACACTCGGCTACTGCGCCTTATCCATGGCTACCCTCCACACCCTCATCTTCGGCTGGAACCGCGCCTTCCTCTCGGCCCAGTACTACTTCTACATGCCTCCCACCTTCCTCCTGGTCCTCATTCTCCCCCTCGCGGTGCTGCTGGGCCGCGTGGCCCTCTTCCTGCCCTGCGTGGGCCACCGGCTCGGGCAGATCCGCCGCGGCTGGGAGAAGAGCCGGCACATCCGCTTCATCCTGCCAGACGACGACTGCCGCAACGGGCTGGAGAATGTCAGTAATGTGTGAGAAGCACCGTTTTCAGCAGCGTGCATGAAAAACCCAGACTCATGAATATAAAGCACATGGAGGATAAAAGATTTATACACTCTTTGAGCACTTTGGAGGATCATCTCTGGCCTTTTGAGGGGGTTCAGAGAGGATCCTCTTCAACAATTAGCTGGAAGACTCTTTGAGATTTTTAGAGCGGTGGTGCCACCTTTACTGCTCGATGCATTGGTAGTTAGACTACTTAGTTAACATTTAAAGTGTTTTATCGATCTCTTTTCTGTTAATCCAAAACGGAAGAGCAGTATTCATGCAATCAAAACAGCCTCTGTAACCTTACAGCTGATAGTCGAGCTTAAATGAGGTTTACTATGAGCATCAGAAGTGCGCTTGGCTTTCCTCACGCTGTCTGCATTCCTCTCTAGGAGCATTTGGTGCTGTACAGATCTGTTTCTATTTGAAGTCATTTGAAGGTTTTCTTTTCTAATTTCTCCTTTTCTTCCCTTGACAGTGATCAGCACTGTGTTAAAACTATTTGTTTTGGGAAAGGCATATCTCAAAGAAAAACTCCTTCCCAGAGTTGACACTATGTTTTGAATCCTCTCCTTTACAAAGAAACACTGCAACAGTAAAATATTAAACTATAATATTTAAACACTGAATATCATCATAATCACTATTTTTCACAATATTTGACACGAGTGCGTATGTTTGAATTAAGCCATTTCTCAAACGGATCAGCCGCCTGCCTTGTCGTAACTTAGAGGTGCTAACTGCTCATTTTCCAGATCGATGCACGTAGATGCAGCATCCAGGCCAGCGAGATGCACGTCTGCTGCTGCCATCTCGCTCAGGGGAATCTCACCACGGCCTCTGACTTATTCAGATGTAAAATGTCAGATGTTTCTGCTGCTTTTTTTTTCTCCCACTCTGATGAAGTAAACACCAACACAGGCAGTAATATTTCAGTTAAGAAGCTGTATTACAATATTTTACTGTCATTCACTGTTTTACTGTTTATCCAACTGGAGCTGGATAAATCTAAATAAGAAATTATTTATTTAAGCTTACTTTATGTCAGGTGACAGTCCTGACACTAAACTAAGGTACAGCTAGCTTATATTGGGTAAGGTAAGAGGCCATAGTTTAAATGTAACCAAGCATCGTGTGACATTAATACTTGTTACACACCAAACTGATTGAAAATAGTTTCTATTGAAAATAGAACTCAGATTCATTTTAAGTGGATATATCTGCATGTAGAAAGAAATGCAATTTCAGGTGTATTGCTCTTTTAGGAAGCGTGGCACAAAATGAAGTCTTTCACATGTTCTAAATAATCTATCATACGGAGAAGGCGGAGCGGAAATATAAAAACGGATTAAAAAGGAAGTTTTGACTCTTCAACCAACTTTTTCTTCATTAAAAAAACTCCCAAAACAACACCTTTGTACATCAGCCCTACGTGCACTCTCATTTTTCTGCTCTTGCCAGAGATTTTCATTTATATGCTGGATGTGTTAAGTCTGTGTCTGTCGTCGTGACAACATGATGATTTCAAGTGTTAATTTATAAAACATGGAATAAAGTTTTCTATGACAGAGCGAGCTTTCACATCTCTGGTGTTTGTCGTCGTTTTTGGAGTTCTTCAGATTAGATTAACTTCTGGATTCAAATAAACCATCTTCATGTTTTAAATATTACACTTAATGCCACCAAATCTGCGCACACACACACACAGCCGAACATGTCATTTTGTGCTTGCTGCCATCTTGTGGTGACTTTTTCTATTGTCTTGCACGACTTGTCCTTTGGATTTTTTCCCCCACTTCATGGCCTCCTCAGTCAACAGATCCCAGTCCAGTAGAGGATATTTGGGATGTAGTGGAGAGGGAGAGTCACATCATAAACAACCTGCTGACAGAGTAATGTTTTCAGCTCCTTGTTGAATCTGTGCCACAAAGAATCAAGCCAGTGCTGATGGCAACAGGGAGTCTAACCATGCAACAGCAAACTACCTAATAAAGTGGCCAGGTACTGAGTTTCTATGTGTGTTTATATGACAGGGACAGGGAGTGTGTTTACCTTACTCTGCCGTCATAACTAAAATATGCCTTTAAATCCACATTTCCTGCTGATGAAGCTGGACCGCTACAACAGGGATGATCTGATATCCTCGTGTTGGTGTTGTTCCCAGACCATCATGAAAATGTTGTTCCAGGATCAACATTGCAAGTGACCAATCACATTGTTGTGACGTTATTCTTTTGCGTGCCAAGCCATTCGTGCATTTATGAAATTCCAATGTTGCAAGGACAATATCAATTCTGCTTACTGTTTATTAAAGGGTTATGGTTAGGGTTAGGGTCAGGGTCCGTTGATCGGCGGACAGAGGCGGTTTCTCGCAGCTTAAGTAAAGTTTTTTGTTTTACGCCGGTTTTTCCCGAAGTCGCAAAAGTATGACGTCACAACATTCTGATTGGTCACTTGCAATGTTGATCCTGGAACAACATTTAGTATGATGATCTGGGAACAACACCAACACGAGGATATCAGATCGTGCGCTACAACAGGTCTGTTCAGCAGGACTGACTGGAAGAAGCGCACATAGATTAATATCTGCGTGCTGCCCTCTTGTGGTGACTTTTTCTACTGTCACACAAAACCACTCCCTTGACATGTAACGATTAGATCTTTTGTAGGAACGTTTATAAGTATAATATATATAGGTTTGCTATAGTGGGTGTAAAATATCTCACAGATGTGGATAGATCGATCCAATTATAAGTATCAGTACAAGTATCGATACTGACACTGGTATTAGTATCTGATTGATATTTTGTTTCTATGCTTCAAGATCAGCATGTTGTCCACTGATATCTGTTAAAAAAATTGGTTATGGAAATTAAAAATACATGCCTCAAACACACACTATGAAATGACAATCAATACTTTGTTTTAATTGTCATGTCTACTTTAGTGCATCAGTGACAGATATGTTTACATTCCAGGTCACCAAGTTTCGAAACACATGATAAGCATAAAGGTGTGTTTTACCAACTAGTTATTGATGAAAGTAAAAATCACAGTGATCTAGTGGTCATTAAAATGTTCCTAGAATTAGCAAATTGATGACGATTAGTCTCATAAATCATGACTGTAAACTGCCTTTATAGGTTAAAAGTATCGGGATTGGTATCGGTACTGACAACAGTGACTGTATTTACTTGGTATCCAATCAATATCAAACCCCCCTCCGCACCCCCTCCTAAGAAATCCCATAAACCCTCCCACTTCCTTTCTCTCAGCAAATCACAGCACAGCTGACACAACTGCAGCGAGTTGGACGAGCAGGCCTTTGAACAGGAGCAAAGGTGTGCCCCAGTTTCACCGCAGTCATGACTGTAAGTATGACCTCTTTAGTATTTAAAACTTTCCTGGAATCTTATCTAAAATATTAACATTGTTTCTAAGTGATTTCTCTGTAATGTTGACTTACGTATAAATCACAGGGACTGGAAAGAGGGTTTTTTTTGGTGGGGGGGCAGGAACCAGACCGTTTAGCTCGACAGGTTCTTGTAGTTGTAACGAGGTGTTAAGTTTAAACTCGTTCCTGGTTACTGAGAAGAGCATTCAGGTGATAGTGAAGATGGGCGAGTGGATATGATCTGAGGATATGCTGTGACTTGTCCTAACCAGGACGCCTTTGACAAAGCGGTAGAGGAGGTGAAGGTTCTGAAGCAGAAACCAAACCAGCAAGAAATGGGCGATCTGTACGGCTTATATAAGCAAGCTACAGTCGGTGATATTAACACAGGTGAGTAGCGTGACTGTGGCGTGTGTGTGTTTGACATATGGAGCCACTAACTGCATGTGCGAAAGCGGAGACGGGTGGTACTGAGAAAAATCAGGTTTGACGAGTTCTGCGTGATTTGCTGAATAAGTTCCCACAAGTTTTTTTTT